CCATGGGCTACCGTATGTAGCCAGCAGCCAGCGTGAGCGGCCAGCAGCCACAATGAACGGCTGTCCAGAAGCTGGCGACTGATCTGCCTCTCCCGGGAAGAGCGCAATGATGGTGCCAACTTGGGCCAGTGAAGCAAAGTCCTCCACAACTAGACTGAAGAACAAAACGACAGCAACTTGTTTGTTCCCCTTCCCCCAATTCACCAATAAAAATCTTAAAAAAAAAAAAAAAGTTTCTATTGGAAGAAAATAATTTCAAATGATCTTGTTGGAAATAAACTTTAAATATCAACTTAAGACTATTATTTAAACAAATTATATACCACTCAGTAGAGAAAGGGATTTTGCAATACATAACATTTGGACATCCAAAATGCTAGCTAATATTTTAAGTTAATGCTAGCTAATAAGTAAAACAGATGACTTTTATATTTTAAGATTGACATAAGTTCTAATTATATTTATTTGAAAAATTTTGAAGAGGAGGAAAGTATACAGAAATAGCATTTCCAATGTTTAATTGTATAATTCTTCATATGATATCACACAATATGACTTATGAGGAACTTCACGACCTTGAAAACTGAAGAAACAGAGTTTAAATAAATCTCCCCCCTTTTCCTAATATGTACTGCTAATATAGAATGGCTTTGTTGAAATAACTGCAGATTATACAAAACTATGATTTTAAAATGTAGACAAAATACTGACAGGAAACTATAAAATAATGTTTAAAATTTAACACTAGCTTAAAATATGAATTATTCAGTAATTTATATGCTTACCTTTATTCTGAATGATTAAAATAATGCATATACATTTGGAAATCTGCTTGAACATAGTTATACATGTCTGTAATAATCTAACGTTCTAGAATCAAGTCACTACTTTCACAATTGTAAATTAAAAGTAAACAAATCTTATGCTGATTGCACAGTTAATATATTTAGAATTAAGTTTAGCTCTTAAGGGATAACTTTAAACCTAGAAAAATTTACACACACACACATCTTAGTCTAGTAACTACTAAGCCATTTATGTGAAATCACTATCATAATATCTGAAATCTTAAAAAAATTCTAACTCTCCCCTTATACTGAAGTCTAGATCAGTCAATTTGCCCAAGGTCACAGAAGTTAGTGGTGGAGAAAGAGACTAGACTTCAGGTCTTCTGACAACAAGTTGATGTTCCCATTATCCCACATTTATTATATTAGAATGAAAGTGGAATAAGAGGTGAGAATTGTTTAATTACAAATAGTATATTTGACATAGTCCCAATAATGAAGCAATAAGCCTTTAAAAACAGTCAATTGCTGGCATCTTTTTAAAGTACTGACAATAACATTCAGCTCTTTTGGGGAATTAAAGATTGTTGCCCTCATAAATTTATTTATTAAAAATGTATATACATACTCTGCTATAAAGAAGAATGAAATCGTACCATTTGTGACGATATGGATGGACCTAGAGAACATTATGCTAAGTGAAATAAGTCAGTCGGAGAAAGACAAATACCATATGATTTCACTTATAATGTGGAATCTAAAAAAACTGAATGAACGAGGAAAGTAAACAGAAGTGGTCTCAGAGATGTAGAGGATCAACTGATGGCTGTTAGGAGNACTTGTCTGTTCCCCTTCCCCCAATTCCCCAGCACTGTTCCCATCCCCCCAATTCCTCAATAAAAATCTTTAAAAAAAAAAAAAAAAAGAGCCCTGGCCAAAGGCCAGGGAATGGCCTACATAGTACTGTAAAGAATTTGGCCTTGCCTAAAGAGGTCTGTCCTTTGCCCCCATTAGGATGTAACCTATGTCATACTTGATAGGAGCATCTTTGTTTAGGGTGGGCGCTGGTGACAACAGATTGTAGAGTAAGGCTGGCCATACCTGACATTCTTAGGTGGGGGCTGGCCACACTAGAAAGAATAACCACGTGATTTAGGATGGGGCTTTGGTTCACACATATCAATCAACCTAGAGGCTGAGATCAACCTTGTGAGCAATCAATCTAATCAATCATGCTTATATAATAGAGCCCAATGAATGCTGAGTAACTATGGTGTACACCTGAAACTAATATAATATTGTATGTTAGCTATATTTTAATAAAAATCTTTAAAAAACAAAACAAACAAACAAACAAAAATCCTCTGGACACCAAAGCACACCTCAGCCTGACTGTGCATACTGTGACACATTGATGCTAGGAGGATAATGCATCCGAACATCATGGGCAAGGACAACAGAAGCTTTGTGTTTGGAACCCTCCAGACCCTATGCTTCTCTCCCTTTGGCTGATTTTAATCTGTATCGTTGTGAAAAACCATAACTATGAATATAACAGCTTCCATCCACTGAGTTCTGTGAGTCCTTCTAGCCAGTTATCAAACCTAAGAGTGGTTATGAGGATCCCCAAACTTGCAATTGGTGTCAGAAGTGAGGGTAGTCTTGGGAAATGTGCACTCAAACTTTGCAGTCTGTCAAACTTCAGGTAGGTAGGTATTCTCACTAACTCATTCTATAATGAAGAAAGCAACGTGCAGAGAGTAGACAAACTGGTCAAGAGGGCAAGCTTCTAAGTTGTAGTGCTAGGTAGAATACAAATCCTGGTTTGGTTGACTTCATGCCTATACTTTTAGTTTTTATATTGCTTTATACAAGATGGTCATAGCATAGTATAGATGAGTATTTTACTGCTATGATGTATTTCACTAGTATGACATACTTAATTTTTTGCTTCTTTTCACATCAAACTCGAACCAAAGTAATTATAGTTAACTACTAAGCATAAATTAACAATTATTATTGTGTACAGTTTTGACCATTACCGGTTTTGTGCAGTGAATGTTTCCCTCTGAGGATGAAGATCACTATAAACAACCCTGATGAGATCATGCTGACACAGTGCCCCTTCTGTCAAAGCCATGGATCCAATTGTTGAGGGCTACAAAAATAAGGTAAAGTATGAGACTGTGTCTCTAAAATGAAGTAAAAATCTATATAACGATATTTAATTTTGTTTCAACAAAAGGCAGTTTCAGATAATTTGTTCTCTTTCAAAACCTTTTCCATTTATCAATTATATACATTCTATAGCTCTTTTTGGAAATTATATACATGATACATAAAACTAAAAATATACTGTTTTATTTTTGGAAAGACAATGAAATGAATCTATAATTAGAACACAGATAAGAAAAGTTGCTGTAAAGACTAAAGGTTACAAATACATCATTTTTAATTTGTTTGTATTCTAGAACACAGAGCAGTCTTGGGGACTGTGCATTCAAACTGCGAAGTTTGTCTAATTTCAGGTAAATAAGTGCTCTCATTAATCCCATTCTACAATGAAGAATGGAAAGTGTAGAAAATTATAATTATACAACACAAGCAATATTGAAGACTATATCTCTTCAAGATATAAGAGACATATGATCAAATGTCTCTTTAATAGTGACTAACTGATTTCATGTTTTCTAAAGTTAGAAGAACCATCCACTCATAAATGTTTCACTAGGTTCCATTTTATTTCATAACATGACACACCAAACTTGATTAAAATCTATTACTCAGAAATATTCTATGCTAAAATGAGTCCTGGCTAAATAGAAGGCATTCTATTTCCAATACAAAACAAAGTCCCAGGGAAGTTAATTAAGAAAAATAAATAGCTGCTCAGAGCTATGAGACAACAGGATTCTGATCAATAGTAAGAAAAATGGAATATAATTTTTAGACTACTGGTAATGTTTCTTTAAATGCTTTCCTCACAACTTTATGCACTAAAGGGCACTAGAGACAAGAAGCTTGATTCATAACATATATCCTCAAGAGCAGGTAGAAGGAGTTCAGCTCAACAGGAGTCATCTACCTATATGATTATCAGTGTTCTCACATTCTTCAACCAAATAAATATAAGCAAAAATCAGAAGTGTAATGTTACTGAACAACTAGAATGCATCAGACACCTTTAAATGGAAATAAAATAATTATAGTGTTAATATTCTAAGTAGCATTTGCCTAAAAAATAATTTAAAAAATTTAACATAAATGATTTCTAATTAATATGGAAGACTTTAAAAAGTTAAAGAATATTTTTGAAAATTCATAAAAGACTAAAAAGACTGAAAGTGATACAGGTGGAAGAATACTAAAGAATTACACAAGAACTAAAGGAAAATTTTCCATTAATTTCTGCCTCTCTTGATAATAACTCAACCTTATATCACTACTAACAAACATCTACTCTTAAGAAGTAAATCAGTAACAGTGTGTTAGAAATATTTATCTCTGGTTAGAAACTGACTTTTTTAGGGCCAGCCAAGTGGCACGTTGGTTAAGAGTTGGCTTGGGACGCCAGCTCTGAGCAGCAGGGCCCCGGTTCAGATCCCACATGAGGGCCAGTGATGCTGCGCCCTCTACAGCTAAGATGGTGAACAACAGCTCGATCTGGAGCTGGGCAGCTGTGAGTCGCTGGCAATGGTGTAGGCTGCAGTGGGGCGGCAGTGGGCTTCCATAAGCCACCGTGAGTAGCCGGCAGCCAGCGTGAGCTGCTGTGAGCTGCCGTGAGCGGCCGTCCAATGGCCAGCGAGCAACTGCCTCACTGGGGAAGAAGGCAATGATCACAATACCAACATGGGCCATTGAAGTGACATCCTTCATAACTAGACTGAAGAATAAAAGGGCAGCAACTTGTCTGTTTCCCTTCCCCGATTCCCAACGCTGTTCCCCTCCCCCAATTCCCCAATAAAATCTTTTTAAAAAACAGAAAAAAGAAACTTTTATCTCTATTCAATATAATTTTAAATAATTTTACCTTTCCAATCTTACTTACCTCATGGTATATTGAAGGCTTAGATAAGGAAGGGATAGTAAAAGATAGAACTTTATTGTTTCCATCTTTATCAGCAATTTCCTATAGTTAAAAAAATAAACAAAGATAATGAAATAATCACATAACTACAAGAAATAATACTTTCTTAATTTATCGAATAAATCATTGGTAATTGAGAAAAATGTTTAGAAATAGTAATACATAAAAAATATCACTACCCTAGTGTATCTTTTCTAACCTATTAGCAAATTTGTACACTTTGGTAGTTGAGTTATCCTTTGAGAAGTTTGAGTGCAATTCTATACTACATCAAATTCAATATGACAGCAAAGACATGAAGCAGACACACAAATCAATTTTCATGTTAAATTTACAAACATGACAAGGAGGTTACAAATGATTAGATCTTTAAGTAGAAGCGTGACTGAGTTAAACAGATTAAAATTAAAGGTCTTAGCCAAGGGGGCCACACTTATTAAAATAAGAAAAACACATTGTTCTAACACAGAATGATTCTTGACTAAAAGAAACTCTTACAATTATTCAGCAATAAACTAATGATTTGAAATAAGCTACATATTAAAGTAAGTTCATATTTAGGCAATTTTTACTAAACTGCAAGAAAATTCTTGTGACTATTAAAATTTCAAAGCACTTTATCTTTCAATGAAAAGGACAACAGTATCCTTCATTTCTATACCCTCTAGCACCTCCAATCGTCTACATGTATCCACGAAAATCTGCCAGCATTTAGAGGGGTCAATGTTCTTCCTGCATCATCACCTTTTCTCTACTGCCTTATTTTAGTCTATGTTTGTTTTTCAATTTACATTAGTATACATAACAGTCATAAAATGCAAAGAGAAGATTACCCTTAGCAGACCTAGCAGGAAGGTGGTCAGAGAGAGATTGAGTCGTTATACAGCACAAAGAAGAAGCAACAATAAAAACACCTTTCATCACAAAAACACAAACCCAAAGAACTTCCCTATAAGGCTCATTTCTGAGTCTAATATGTCATAGGAGAGTACCACTTATATGTGAACAATGGCCCTACCTTTGATTTTGGCAGGAAAATGCATTTAGAAATTCCCTAGAGAGATCATTTAACTACTTTGTAGTCAAACTAGTTACCACAATATCTGAGCAATTTAAGTTAGGCAATAAAATTTAAATTTTTATTCCTAAATCTTAAATTAAGTCAAATATTTTTAACATTTGTGTATATTTGTGGACAAGGGTGTTCTGAAATTTGTTTTAGCTGAGATCAATATAAAACTCTTCCTGAGGCTACCTGAAACAAGGGAGTAGTATTAGGGAGGGAAAGAAGAAAAAAGAAAAATGAATACGTATATAAAAGAAAACCGAGGCTGTAAGAAAAATTGAGAACCACAGAGAAGAAACAATACTGATATCAAGGGAATTATAAGAAGAAGCCCAAGGTTACATTTCTGACATACATTTGAACATTTTTTGAACAGTATACTATTTTTAAGATGCTAAAAGATAATTAAACCATAGCATTCTGCTATACAAAATATTTTTGCTTCATTTGTCCCACTAGTGAATTTTGTTACACTAAACAAATTAATGAAAGTGAAAAGTTAATGCTAAACATAACCTAAAACACTAAATTCAATTATTAAATCAATAAACATCTACTAAGTGCCTGTGGTAATCACTACAGGCACAGTGATATAATGAAACAAATTTCCTGCTTTAAAAGAAAAAAACTATCAGGCAAATTAGCAAAATAGAGAATTTTGTACCTATACCAGCTTTTCACTTAAGAAAATCACCTTTAATTATACTACTACTACTAATGATAAACATTTATTAAACACCTCAGGTAACATGCTGGGTTGTTATAATTATTTTTAATCCTATATCAATATTTTATTTGTTTTATAGATGAGGCAACTGAAGTCAAGATATTAAGTAACTTGCCCAAATTTAAAACAGCCAATAAATGGCAGGGCCTGGTTTTAAATAAAATATAAGTGACTCCAAAGGCCATGCTCTTTCCTTTAGATGTATGTTCTAGTGATGGAAATGTTCTCTAATGATTTTTTTAGGGATAATACTTAGAGGAGTGAGCACTGGTACAGAAGAATATTATCTATTGTGAGACTCAATGTTTTGTGAGGTACTTTATTACCTCTCAATTATAAAACTTAACTTTATTATGTAGAGTGTTTGCTTAGAATGAGTACTGGATACACAGAATATAAGACTTCAAAGGGCAGGAATTTCAATACCAGTGTCCTAAATGAAGCACCATGAGAAAAAAAAAAGAATACTAATATTGAAGGTACTTAAGAATTCCTCAGAAGGAAAGAGTTTCATAAACAATATAGTATCAAATACATAATGTTAAATATAAATTTAAAAAATTTTAAATGCAAGATATTTATATTAGTCAAATAAAATAAGTTGAAATAAGTCATAGAACATTAACAATGCTGTCAATTATAAGTTTCACCTACTTTATAAAATGTATTATCAGCAATTACTTATTAAGCATCTCTGTACTCAATTTAATTAGATCAAATAAATTATTCAGTAGACATTTCAATTTCTTTTTCTCTAAATATTCTTTAAGTATTCTTTTAGAGGACTTAAAAAATACTTTAAATTTCCCAAGCTATCATTTTCAACTTACCAAATTATAAATTCCTAACAGAAGTGCTTCAATGCAACCATTACTCTGTCTGTCTCGGCTAACTGTAAGCCGTAAATAAACCCACATCAATTCTGGCAAGAATTGCAATGTGAACCTCTTAAGTCGAACTTCAGAGCTACGATAGAGCTCAAACAGCTGGTGACAAACAGGCTCCAGGAGCTGAAAAGCAAATAAAGTACATTAGTTATTTCCACTCTTTTGGCTATAACTGTATTTTTTTAAAGGCATGTATACTTACATATTTTCAAAATAAATTCTCAATATTAATTTTTGCATATTTTGAATCAATGCAACCAAAATCTTAATCTCTATTTATGTACAAAGACAACATGTTAAATGGACCAATCTAACTTACGTACTTTATGCCCATATAATATCAACATATCTTTTAACCCACTGTACTACTAAATTCATTTAGTGAGTTTCCTTTTTCTGTTCTGACCAATCCTTACTATCCTCCATTTAAAAAAGTTTCTGGGCCGGCCGAGTGGTGCGATGGTTAAGAACTGGCTTGGGATGCCAGAGGGCCCCACATATGAGGGCCAGTGACACTGCCCTCCACAGCTAAGATGTTGAACAACAGCTCAACCTGGAGCTGGGCTGCCATGAGTCACCGGCGACGGCGTAGGCTGTAGCCCCTGTGGCAGTGGGTTGCCATGG